TAAACACATCTCTACTGTTTGTACTCTACTTGCCCAGCATCTCTACTGTTGGTATAATAACAAAGATTTTCCTTTTAATTTGTGTTCTTTTGTGGCAGAACTTTGCAAGGGACCCACCCCCTGGGTCAATATTCACCACTCACAAAAAAAAAAACAAAAAGGATCCCAGAAATACACTGCTAGAAAGGGAACTTGTGTCTAAGGGCTGTGGCTGGAATATTTCACATAGGCAGTTCTGTTCAATGCAAGTTATCATCAGGGTCTGTGGGAAAGAGGGAATGACTGAGTTTTCTTTTCCAAGCAGCACACAAAGGGGAATGATCATCACACAACCTGGCATGATTAAAAAATAAAAGTTTGCTCATATGTATTTCTAGCTATTCCAATTAGCTTAGATGAAAATACAGCCTTAAATTGATTTCTCTGTCAGTTTACCCTCAAGCAATCTTAGTCTGAGAATAAAAAATTATCCTTGTTCTGTATGTGTTAATAATGGACAGTTGATATTGTTACTAATGGGATTTCCTCATTTTATAAATATAAGAATAAAAGCTTTATTGCATTTTATTCTGCCCTGGTCAAACAGTTCCTACTTGGAGAAATACAGTGAGCAATTAATTTTCTATGGCAAAAGAGGAGAGGGATCTGAGGTTCTCCAGGGGTTGCTAGACTCATATACTGTATCAACCCCAATCAATAGCTTACCCCAACCGTGTGCTTTCCAGATGGGTTAGACTACAATATCCATCACCGAATAGGGCTGGATGGGGATGGTAGATATTGTAGTCTAGCACCTCTAAGGACAACTATTTATTTTATTTATTTATTTATTAAATCTATATGCTAAATTAGGAATGGCTGGTATATCATTATGGCTGAAGCTGATGGGTCTAATAACTACTGGAGGCACTACAATTTCTCTAAACATGTCCCAGTAAATACAATAGCTCTATACTGACCAGGCTCTCAGCTTTCAGGTTCTAGGTCAGGTTGAAATGCTACATGATAGAGGCAAAGAGAAGTGGTATCACAGGTATATTGACCAAATCTCTGCATAATCTTTCCTAGTACTTCCATAATGCTTTGAGGGGGAAAAAAGTAAGAAGAGGATAATGTTATTTGAGGAAAGTGTTATTTGAGGAAAGGGCAAGAATTCATCTTTCTATCAACTGAATGAGCTGTACTTCAGGATGATACATTGTCCTGAACGATCTATTAATCCAAGACTTTTTAAATCTTCACCCGGTCCAACTAGTTAAACTAGATCAGGGATTTTGCCTGCAAAAACTGGGTGGGGGAGCATCATATGGTAGGATGATGATTCATTTTCTCACAGCCTGACACAGGAAGAACAGGAAACAAATGATTTCATCATCACTACCACACCACTGTTTTTAAAACAATTCAACCTGCAACCACTAAGACACAGTATTAATACAGAGCTCTACTTCATCACCTGTGGTCTTCTTCAAACAGAGTAGATGTATGTCATTATTCTCATAGAATCATCAACTCATATATTTGGAAGGAGTCATTTTGGTCACTGAGTCCAACAGTTCTCAGTACAGAAATCCAAATTAAAGCATCTTGAGCCAATAGATGTCCAATTTTTGCTTGAACACTTTCAGAAAAGAGAAGTTCACCGTTTAATTAAGATGCTGATTTCTTTCCTGTCAAATTATTCTTATTGCTAAGAAATCTGTCCTAATTTTGAACTGAATCTGCTTTGCTGTAACTTAAATCTATTATTTCATGGGACAATAGAGAACAGGCTTGTTTTTCTTTTGTGTAACTTCCCTTTCCAGTATTTGAACTGTATTATCTCACACACACACACACCCTGACAGGTCTCCTCTCTTTCAAGACTAAGTATTCACAGATCCTTCAGTCTCTTAATATAGCACTTAGTTCTTAGCCCCTGATCTTCCTTGCTGCCCTTCTCTGAACTTGTTCCAATCTGCATGAACCCTTTTAAAGTGTGATGCCCAGAAATGGATAGAAGACTCAAGGAAGAGGCTGACTAAGGTAGAAGACAGAAGTGGAAGTGCTACTTTCTATATTTTAGAAACTGCTTTTCTGCTGATGCAGCCTAAAATTACATTTAACGTTTTCTGTAGCAATATGAGTTATTCTATGGACTCATATTTAATTTATAATCATTCCTATTCCAAATCTATCTCATAAGTATTGTTGCCAACCTAGCAGTATTCCATTGCCATGCGTCTGATTTCTCTTTCCTAACTAAAGAAATCTGCATTTGTAACTGTTAAATTTTAGACTGTTCTTTTCAACTCACCATAAACTATCAATTTCATTCTGGACTGTATTTCTGCCTTTTAGGTATTAGATATCCCACCCAATTTTGTTTCTCGTCTGCAAGTTGGGTAAATATTTCCCTATTTCCTCATCCAAGTCATTAATAAAAATGTTGAAGAGTGCAGTGTCCAAGACTAAATCTTGTGACATCCCATTCAGTACTTTTCTCCAGTTAGATGAGCACCTTCTGAGTATAATTGTTCAGCATGCTATGAACTCACTTAACTGTTATGCAACCTAGCCCATACTTAACTAGCTTGCTAATCAAAATGTCATGGGTGCTTTATCAAATGCTTTTCTTGAATCAAAATATTATGTCAACATTATCCAATAATCTACTAAAGATACCATATTTAAAAAAAGAATAAGATTAGTTTGATAAGACTTGTTTTTGACCAATTCATGCTGTGGTCTGGTAATCGCACTGTTTTAAAGGTGCTTAAAAATCAATAGCTGTATGATCTGTTCAAACATCTTTTGAGGTACGGATGTCAAGCTAGTTTGTAGTCCCCCTTTTGGAAAAGGGAGCTCTTAATCTATTCTCCAGGATTTCTTAAAGAAAATACATAAAAACGCAGTCAGCTCATCAACAAGTTCCTTCAGCACCCTAAGTGAAAAGACATCTTTCCATTTGTTATTCCAGAGTTCAGTCCAACAACCAGCCTTTGAAGTCAGTGAGAGGATTTCTGAGAGAACACTCATGTTGCCCAGATTTTGCTCTTGTTTATGAAGGTCTGAACCGTCTATGATATAGCTAAGCCTTCTTCAACCTGCTGCCTTCAGATATGTTGGAATGGCAACCCCCGGAACTCAATCAATGGGACTCACTTCTGAGTAAGCTTAATTAAAATTGTGTTGTAGATCTGTCATTCCACCAACACTTACCTAGAAATAAGAACTATGGTCCCTTCTGGATAAACAATTTTTCTTATCCAATCATAATGGTTCTTTCTGATAGCAAACTCAGGTGACAAATGCCAACAGGACTGTAGTTAAAAATAGGATCACTGAGAAACAAGAGGAATATGTATCAACACAGTCAGGAGAATTCAAGGTTATAGAAGTACAAATATTTCTCAAACAAAACTGTCTTCTTTGAGCAAATGAAAAACAAAAGCTGAAGTCCAGGAAATGCCAAACATCCACAGGAGTCATAGAATGTTGAAGTGTTTTTATTTATCCAAGCATTTTAAATCATTGCATTTACAGCAGGTGAAAATTCCAGGAAAGAAAGAAAGAAACACCTGTACTGTTTATACCAATTTTCATGATCAACCTTCTTTGCATTTGAAACCACAGTGGAACATGAAGAGACATATGCCTTTTGCCCAGATGCTTCAGTGCAAACACTATAAAGTCTTTGACTGCTTTTTGACATCTTTTCCTCCATCTTGAACATGGATGTACCGCAGTCCATTCTCTTACTCCTTGCCTTGTGACAAGCTTTTTGACATATTTATGTACTGTCTACACAGCCTGCATGGCTGACAGAACATCTAGACACTATTATAACACTAGTTATAACTTAAAATAAAGGCGATAGCTAGAGCTTCCTTTCGACACTCTAACTGAAGGGTATTTCATCAGCCATAGTGTTTGGGAGTTGTACAACCTCAGAGTTTGATGGGGGCAGAAAGTAAAAAAAAAAAAGAAAATAAAAGTAGATGAAAGAGAGCTCCATCTGCCTCCTTCAGACACTCCTGCCAATTACTCTGATTGTTTGAATCAGGAAGGGAATTTCCAGACTGGAAGATTGAAAGAAAAACACCTTTGGCTGCTCTGAGCAAATGACTAGAAGGTGAATCATATACCCTTGACAAAGTAGAGGCCAGATCCAATGTTGATTTCAGGTATTTGTGGCTTCTTTCGCTTTTTTTTTTTCTTTTGCTGCATGTGTATAGATGATAAATAAATGGAGAGGTTAGTAGAAGGTCAATAAATAGACTCACCTATACAGTGAGATGGGTGGCGTACAAATCTGATTAATAAAATAAATAAATAAGTAAATAAATGCCTTCATAATTTCTGCATGTAGCATTAAACATGGCAAAGAAATCAAGGTACAATGTGTGTGTATGTTCATTTATTGCATTTATATCCCATCTTTCCTATCAAAGTTCAAAGCAATGTATGTGGAATTACTTTTGTGTGTTAAGCCCACTACAACAGTCCTCTAAGCTAGGCTGGACTGAAAGAGAGTGACTGGCCCAAAGTCACCCTCTATGGTGGAGTGGGGACTTAAACCTGGACCTCCTTGGTCTCAGTCTAACACCTTATCTACTACAATGGAGGCCAATCCATTGAAAATAGGTCAACCATATGGATCTGCTTGCCTGGAAGGGGCGTGAAGTAAAATTATGGGTAGGTAAGTGAATTTCATTCACAAAGAAAATACCCCTGAAGAAAAGCAAGTTCATGTAGGAAAGGCATGAGTAAAAGTTGGTGTCAGCTACCCAGAGAGAAAGTGAAGGAATCTCCATCAACTGATACTGACTTCTATGATTTCATTCACTTTGATCACTAAATGAAGAATGTGTTTAATGACAAACATGCTTCCCTGAACTTTGCTTTGTGCTGGTATATGTGCTAAGTCAAGGTGAGCCACATTCCACAGTGTTCTTTGTTTGTTTATATCAGTAATTTCTGCGTTGTGTTGGCAGACCCACAGTATTTTTGGAGTTTCAGGTTTCAGTTTAATCCACCCAGAAAAGAAAAACCCTCATGGTTGTTAGGAAGTTTAAGCCCCATAGCAACAAAATCATACCATGAAGCTCAAAGTGGGTCATCCCTCAACTACTAACTATCATCTCCAGCCATACTAATTAAGGGTCATAGGAGCTGTATTTTAACCGATACAGAGGGCATCATGGAGACTGGGGAAAACTATTCTAAGGTAAGATGCCAAATGAAGAATAAATAGCAGGTCTTAGATTATCATGCTTCAGATACGGGGTTTCCTGAGCTTGGCTATAATTCTGTCATTTTTTCTCATGCTTCTTCTTGTCCTGCATCTCAGTAGATAAGACAAGCTGAATCAAGGATTTGAGGGTGAGTAGGTTGTGTGTGTGTACACGCTCCTCCCCCCACACACATTTTTTTTTTATCCGCACTCAATCGTGACCGATTCTGCGGTGACTAATGGCACTATCATCAAAGAGAAATTTTTGAGGCTCTACCTTCTGGCCTGTTGGTAAAAGATGCAGGACTGATAGGATAAACTTTCAGCAATAAAGATGTGCTTGGTCTTTAAGATGCTACAAAGTCTTTGTTGGTTTTGCAGCAAGAAACCAATGCTGTTCTCTCATTGATATATTTTTTCTCTGTGTCACCATTATTCATTTCTATTTGCTTTCTCAGTATTCTGATTTCTGTTCAACATGTTTATCTCTGAAGGTTTCATGATTTATATGGATCAGGTTGTTAAATATATAAATTCCAATATAAGAGAATATACGTAGCTCAGGGTTGAACTGTGGAGTCCTTGGTGCTCTCTGAGCTTGGTTGTTTGCTTGCAGATGTTTCATTATCCAACTAGGACTCCACAAGATATAAATTAGCAGAAGCAGTTCCTCCCTATATTTTCCAAAGGGTGTTTGGTAGCAAACAATTAACTGCCTACCATGTCACATCAAAGAACTACTACATTTTAAATTATATTGATCCTTGACCCAGACCACAGGCAAAAATAAAAATATTTGTATTAATAAAATAAAATAAAATAAGATAAAATAAAATAAAATAAAATAAAATAAAATGGAACAAGAGTGTGAAATTCTGCTATAAGGGAACTTTTTGGCTAAAGTGTTTTTCAATATTCCTCCTTTATAGTTTCAGTATGACCTCTCTTTCTAGTTTGGATGATGAGAAAATTCTCCCCTTTTCATATTTTTTTGCTTCTAATAGCATGTCACTTCAGTTCCAAAGCTTCTGGGAAGGGATGTAAACAGAGGAAAACAGAATTTGATCTTCTCAGGACAATGTAATATTAAAGGCAATTTAGCAAGAGCATTTTGCTTCCTGCATTCCAGGATCTAAAATATAAATATCTAAAATAATTCTAAAATATACAAATAATTACACAATAAAGCAAACTTTATTTAAGCCAGTTTGGTGTAGTGGTTAAGGTGCTGGCCTAGAATGCGGGAGACTGTGAGTTCTAGGCCTCCCTTAGGCATGAAAGCCCGCTGGGGGATTCTGGATCAGTCATTCTCTCTCAGCCCAACCCACCTCACAGGGTTGTTGTGGGGAAAACAGGAGGCAGGAGTATTAGGTATGTTCATTGCCTTGAGTTATATCTAAAAAGGTGTGATGAAAATATAATAATAATAACTTGTGTTGATCCTCACAACTTGCTGCACTGCTCATGAATATTTTCCTATTTCTACCCTTATCCATGTCAGAATTCAATACTGCATCGTATTTTTCTTCCATGAACAGTTTTTTAAAAAAAATTTCCGTCAATCAATCAATCAATCACAGAAATAATACAGCAATATTAGAATAAAATCTTAATTTGGGCATATAGGTATTACCCCGTTGAAGAAGCAATAAGCATTCATATATATGAGTGACTGAGAAGAAATCTAACACTTTGTTGTATTACATAGAATTATTAACATTCAGTCAAGTAAATAGGAACATAAGGTATATAATAATAGAAAATATGAATAGGAGCTGAATAGTATCAGGAACAAAATAGAAGAGAATGATGAGGTCAAAAGGGGGAATTTGGGATGCTGGGGTCCTGTGGATATCATCAGGGCAAGGAATCTGACTCCCAGATCACATTTGTAATCAAGACACTGCAGAAAGGCATTCCATATCCCAGGCATTTAGCGCAAGATACTCCGCTCTTGATTTGCTTGTTCTACAATTTCCTCCAATTCATACATTTTGTGATAGAAAGAAATGTCAGCTCCATTCTGTGCTTGTACATTGATGAGGGCAGATCTGTCTAAAGACATAATGGACTAAAATCAGGGAATAAATGTTTTTTCTTTTCTTCTTCTCTAGTAATTATACAGCTTGGAATCATCAAATTATATTGAATGGTAATTCAAGACCATGTTTCTTCACACAACATGTAGTTCAACTTTACCCTGAGAGGATTAACTGAAACTTGTCACGCAGCAGATTGCCAAACATAATGGCAATAGCCACCATTGTAAACTGCCTTCATACATACATACATAACAACGTATATCTTCCAGTATCAGAAGCAGTACATCTCTGTACCAGTTGCAAGGGATACAATGGGTGTGTGCTACTGGCAACTGTGAAAACAAAATGTTGGACTTTAATCTGATCCAGATTAAATAACAGTTGCTTAGATTTTACACTTGTTGGGGAAATAGGTCTCCAGTTTCACTCTATCCCTGCCTATTACAGGAAATTACCCTTTTCAGCATATCAGTCTCAATCCCTTCTTGTGTATACAGATTGTAAAGGATCCACAAATATTTGTTACAGAGGCAAACCAACTGTGATTATGTTTGTTAAGCTGATACCTTGGGTACTCATTCTCTGTAGCTTCAGACTGCCAGCTGCTATATCCAGGTAAAAGGAAACATGCACTGTCTTAACCACTGGTTTGTGTAAACCATACTTATATACAATTGTTTGGCAAAAGTATTCCCATCCACCCCAGTACAAAAATTCTATGCATTAACTGCAAAAGTAATTGTTTGCCATTCAGAAAGCCGTTTGAGGATAAATTATATTAGTTACAAAATTGTATTGTTGCTTTTTAAAAGCAATGTTTTATTTATTCATTTGGTTTATTATTAAATTTGTCTGCTGCCCATCTCTCAATGATTCCCACAACTCTGGGTGGCTTGGTTATACACTAGAACCTTGGTTACACACCAAGTTTAAAAATACTGTAGACAAATACGATAACCAAGTTTGATAGTTAAGACTAGGGCATGAATTGGGAGTTAGTGGGGAAAGGTTCCTTAGCCAACTGCAATAAATTATCACTTGAGCCACAACAAAACAGAAGAGCTGCTATAAAGGAATATTTCTTTCAGAAAAGTCATTTAACAAGAGGAGCTTTTGCATACGTGCAGTGACTCACTCTCCTGAGCAGTCTTTTCTGGATGACAGAGGTCCATGAGTACATTAACCTACCATGTTCATCATGTGAACTTGAAAACACATTCAACTCCATGAATGAATTAACATACTTAACTGAGCGGTAGTCACAAATTGCCCTGAAATTCAGAGAATTAAACCCAAATATCATTTGAGGGACCCCCAACAAAAAGGGACAAAAAGCACCTCTTCTACATTGCATGAGAAAAGGACTCAAGGAAGATTTTAATTGAACTGTCTTCAGAGAGGAAGAGATTAAAAAAAATGTGCCCATAAGAAAGAATGGGCAGTGAAAGTACTCTTAACCTGGAAGATACTGTAGACAGATGGGATGGTCACAACAGTGATGTACTATTCTCTCTCAAAATATAGAGTGTAAATCTGAAAAATGCAGACAATTTTTTTGGGGGGGGGTATCTTCAAGACATTGTTGACTCCTGGTGACTACCTGCAGTTTTCTTGGCAAGATTTCAGAAATGGTTTGCCATTGCCTCCTTCCTAGGGCTGAGAGACAGTGACTGGTCCAAGGTCACCCAGATGGGTTTGTGCCTAAGGTGGGACTACAACTCATGGTCTTCGGGTTTCTAGCCTGGTGCCTTAACCATTGTGCCATACTGGCTCTCTAGGCAAAATTTAATTGTTGCCAATAATTAATATTTATAAATTGTTTTTCATGTGTCTTTGAAATGCTTCACATATACAGTATGATCTCCCTCAGGTCTTTATAATTTTGCAAAGGGGGTAATATCTCAGTTATCACTGATCCTCTAAAAATAACATATGCTCCAGTTGTCCCTATGTATGTGAATCAGTGTCTTTACTTTTGTATTTTGTTTTACATTTTTGCATTTTAAAAAGGTTGGGAATTAGCCTTCCTTCCTTCCTCCCTCCCTCCCTCCCAAAATGTCAGTACAAATACTTTTACATTCATCCGCCTAGGCTTCTATTCTACCATGCCCATTTCTTTCCATTTTCCATCTTGTTATAATTAGTCACCCAGATAATAAATGTGGGCACTACTCTATTTTAATTGCAACCAAGTCTTTTGTAAGAATAAATATCCTCTTTCAATTTTCTGGGTTTTTTTAAAAATAAAATTGTATAACCAGCTTTCTAATATACCTGTTTCAGAACCCCAGGAAGGATCTGCTTTAGAAGAATAAATGGAAAGCAAGTGGAAGGGAACCTCCAGTGGTATGTAAGAGCAGCTGGGAATGGCAAAGTGAAATTAAAACTGCAATCATATGCATTTGTACCCGGGCACAAAGCCCAATGAATTTCATAAATCTTATTTCCTGGTAGGGATAATTGAGATATTTAACCTTCATGCATTCTGATAAAAGCTGAATAGTTCCCATGAAAATAATGGATTGGAACATAACTGTTCACTCAGTTTTTATTTAATATTGTGGTAAAGTTTCCCCACAACAGCAACTCTGTGAGGTGAGTTGGGCTGAGAGAGAGGGACTGCCCAAAGTCACCCAGCCGGCTTTTATGCCTAAGGCGGGACTAAAACTCACATTAATCAGACAGTGAAGATTAACATCTCATGTCTCACTGTATTGTAACAATAACTGAAATCTTGTAGTACCTTAGACCAGTCAATGTATTCTTGTATAGATTTTTATGGATAAACAGGAGTATCTGATGATGTGACTTCTAGTCCACAACAGCTTTATCCCAAACGATTCTAGTTTCACAAGGCTCCAGTCCATGTAACTGGCACACTTCTATGCTCATGCTAAAACTTTGGGGATAAGTATGGTGACCACCATTGACTTAGGATCAAAAAAGACAAGTCACAGCTTTCAATTACATTTTCATATGTAAAACTGCATTTTTAGAAAATAACTTCTTTACCTTAAATAGAAATGCCGCATATCTCATCACAGTGGTGAAGGTTGTGACTGGGAGGCTTGTAAGCCTGACAGTTCAGTAGGCCATTTGTTAATTATTGGTGGGTAATATCAAGGCCTTTCTGCTCCCCCTTCTTATGGTTCTTTAATATGAATTTGGATTGAGCAGCCATGCAAACAGAGGTCTAGTAATACAAACTGTCATCCTTCTTAATACCTCTTATTCTTTATACTGTAATGGTTAAGCAAAAATCTTCTAAACTGTCTGAAACATTTCTAAATCCAGAATTTTCTCATCAGTTGTTTTGACTGAATAGAAGCTACCACCTTTTATCTTTGTGGTTACAACGGTAACTGTTTTATTTTACAAATCTTTTCTAAAAAGCCACCAACATAGAGTCTGATAATATTCTTACTCATCTGAGTTTTAAAATCTGTGTTACATTAGCATAGTTGCTCTTGATTAAACAGAAGAATCACCCTGCAAGAATGTTGGCTAACTAAATTGAAAAGAAAAGGGTCAGAAAGGGAGTGAGGTGAGACAACATGGTTTGAATGTCTTAAAAAGCAAATATTGCATGCGACTGTCTGAGTCATTGCCTCCTTATCATCCCCTAATCTCCAGACTGGTCACCTGAGCACCAAAGTGGTCGTATCCCCCCATTGCTCAATGATGGAATTTCAGGACTTCTTGATTCATCTTTCATGTTTGCGTGCATTGGCCTTAACTGATTTGTTGCCTGTCATCCATAAGTGGGCTGTAAGCGAACCTATGAGATACAAGTGGTGTTGCTATAATTTCTTTTAAAGAACATCTGTTTGATTTGTTACTGATTTTCAGAGATGCAAAGTAAGAGAAAGAGAGATTGAGGACAGATTAAGATGTCATTTAAAATGACAGGAGCAAATAAATGCACAGTGTTGTTGATCAACTGCAGGAGGAGGGAGAGAAGGAGAAAAGGTATTCTAAAGTTGAAAGGTAGGGAGTAAAAAAAAATAAAAAAGCAGTATTTTAACATCTTTCCACAGTCATATTCCTCATTGCCATTAGTTCTGAACTGCCAGACTGAAGGCACAAAAATAATTTTTAAAATGCTGTTTAGCACCATAAAAATTAAAATTATATAGTAGAGACTTACAGCTAGCAGTAAAAGTGGACTACGTGCTTTGACAGCATATTCATATTATTTTGCTGGAATCCTCCTGCTTAGTGATGCATCTCCATGAAGTCAGTCTGGGGGTTTATTATTATCATAATGCATTACTAGGGCCTATTTGTTTGTGTCCCATTTTCTCCATATTTACTGCTCAATCTTATTAGCCACTTTGCTGAGGCAGTGACTAATATGATGTGTCATGATGGACATGCGCAAGCATGCATCTCGTTCCTCTTTTGTGGTGTTTTAGTCACCTTCAGATCTGCCAGATCAAATGGGAACAATTATGCTTCTGTCTTGGGAACAATGAAGGAGCAAAGCCAAGTCTACCTCATATGAAGTGCATGAAAGCCTCTGTATGAATGGAAACCACAGAAGCCAGTACAGAAATAAGCACGCACCATATGCAATCATTTATTTTATTTAACTCTTGTTAGTTAAAATATTCACAACTGTTTCCACATCAGTATGAAGCCAAGATCACACTTCAGTATCTAGACACTGGTTTCTCACCATTTCCAGCTAAATATATATGAGGAATCATATTATGGAGGCTATTGACATTGTTAAGGAATAGGAAAGCTCAGAAGTTAGTTTGAGAAAGTGGTAGCTTTTTAACAACAGAACATTGTACCAATGACACTGTTCCCAACTACTTGGAACTCACATCCTTATGCAGAAAGAGCATTTCTTTTCTCTGGAGTCATACAAAGCTGGCTATGTGAGGCCTACATAACACTTTGTTATGTTATACTCTTGATGAAACGTTTCTGGGGCTTAAATTACATACCTCCTTTTGACTCTGAAGATTGTGCTGATGCTGTGAATTTGTAAGAGGATGTATGCTTGTTTGAAACTGCCAGAGAAAGTTCTCACATTCATTGCAGAATGTTAAGTAATAGGCCTTGGTATCAGAGCATAGTGGTTAGAGCACTGAATGTGGATTAAACAGATCAATGCTCACAGCTAGAATCTTGCACCAGTCAATAGATTTATGCATCATATTAAGCCATAATGTGCTATATGGCTTGTTCAATGAACCGGGATTAAAATAATGATTTAGCACTTTGTGTAATTCCAGTCCCCACCCATGTCATAAATCATTCTTTGTTAGAATAAAGTGGAGTAACCTGAGTTCACCAGAAGAGTATGATGTAAATTGTAATAAGGAATGTTTGCTTGCTTGTTTGCTTGATCAATTGATTTATAAGCTACCTGACTCCATCACGACTCTGGATGATATGCAATATAAAACAGAAAAATACAAATAATCAAGAATGGAGAAAAAAGAATGTCTGTAAAAAACACAGAATATGACAAACCAATTATTTCCTTTGTTGCCTTACGTCATACAAGGAGCGACATTCTTTCATGTATGCATTTAACTAATCAGAATGCCAATTAGAAAATGCAGTGACATAGTATGCTAGAGAAAATGAGAACTGTGATATTTCTGTTGCATTTCTTTCTTGCTGTTCAGAACTGTGTGGGAAAGAGTATTTTTAAAAGAAAATAAGTTTTCCCCATGTCAAGACAATTAGGAAAACTTCAGAGCTATGACTGCCAGACACAAATACATATTCACAAATTACTATGAATAACGAGGGCAACTCTTCTCTGTAAAGGGTCTTGAATAACTACCTTTGTGTAGAATAAACAACAGAAACTTTTACAGTCCTTGAAGATGGGGAGACCCACATTAAAATCCCAGTTAGCCATGAAACTCACTGGATAACCTTTAGTCAGTCACTACTGTACGCCCAGCCTAACTTAGCACACAGGTTGGGGTGAGGATATAGAGGGGAGGCAGACAAGACAACCATCTATGTTGTTTTGAAATCCTAAATCTAATAGATAAATAAGTAACATAGTTCTAAAAGGAACAGATAGTACCTATCAAAAGTCTCTCCAATAGTTCTAGAAGTTCTCTTACAGTAAGAATAAATAACATTATTGAGGGGTTTCTGTACATGTCACCATTTCTCTGAACACATGATATGTTCATCATGATCTGTCTGTCAGTGTTTTTCAATCTTGGCAACTTTAAGATGTGTGGACTTCAACTCC